GGAGAGGTGCTGGGGGAAGCCCCCTCCATAGGTCCCTCAGTCCATTGCTGTTGGCCTCTCCCAGGACACGTCCTTGACTAGACTCTACAATATAAGGGCTTGGACTCTTTCTGCTTCCAGACTTGACTTCCTTTTCCCTCTCTACCCCCAAGCCAGCATACAACTCAAAGGTCCCAGGTCTCTGGGCAGACACTTCTCCCCGATCTTTTAGCAACAGGGATGGGACGGTGGTGTTGGCAAACCTTTGCCAAAAGATGTGGTGGCCTGTCCAAGAGAGTGACCCCAGGCAGGCATGGGGGCCAGCCCTGGAAAGGTCTCACCAAGTTCAGTATTTCCCAAGCTCTTCAAGCAGCATAAGCCTTGCAGCAAACAAAATCCCACTAGGAAGTCTAATAGAAAAATGGCATCATACCCCCAGAATGTGTATGCATTTTAAAACCATGCTTCCTAATTTCCAAAGAAGACGAAGCTACATATCAAGTTAAAAACTGTCAATGGAGTTTGGATTTCTAAGCCAAAAGAGATAAAATATTAAATGTGTTTGGTAAATTTGAACACACAACATTTACTTATTGTAAAGGCACCTTGATGACAGCCCCGAGGTGGTTTTTATGAATGCAAAACACAAAAAGCAAAATTGTGATCATTTAAGTCTAAGAATCCAACATATTTCTGTGTTTTCTTTGCTTGCTCAGGTTTGAGAAGAATCCAGATTTGCATGAATAAATGGCTTGAAGAGCTTTACCTGGAAATCTCAGGGTACCCTTCAATTAAGGAGTTTGATTCATTTATCCAAGAAACATTTATTGAGTGCCTACTATGTGCCTCCCTTCCCAGGTGGTGCAGTGGTAAAGAATCTGCCTGCCAACGCAGGAGACCTGGGTTCAATCCTTGGGTTGGAAAGATCCCCTGGAGGAGGAAATGGCAACCCACTCCAGTATTCTTGCCTGGAAAATTCTGTGGACAAAGGGGCCTGGTGGGCTACAGTCTGTGGGGTCGCAAAGAGTCGGACACAACTGAGCACACACACACACACACACACACACACACACACACACAATGTATCAGGCATTCTGCTGAGGCTTGAACCAGTGGGAAGAAATATTTATTTCAAACTAAATTACTAATTTGATAACTATTCACATTCCTCATTGTAAATGTAAGTCAAAGGAAAAGACTCTAGTTTATTATAAGCACCAAATCTTCCTATAGTATGCTATGACAATATTGCAGCAGGCCATGCATATTTGATGAACTAAAAGATCATGCTTCAGGCAGGTGGACCTGAGTCTTGCCTGGGAAGAGTGACCCAGCATGAACATCTAATCATGTATGCGACTATCCTGTTGAGAAGAAATACAAGCAGTCTCATTAATGACACTTTTCAAGATGTTCAAATATATGCATAGAGATTTAAGGCTCTGAGGCCACGCATTCAGTCATTTGACATTTATCAAGTTCCTACTATGTGATAGCCACTCTGATGGTTTCAGAGAATACCATGGTGAACAAAGCATCCTTGACTTCTTGGGGCCACATCAATCAATGAGCAAACCAACTAAGAAGTTAAGAGTGGCTGTGCTAAGAAAATGAACAGGGGGACATGACTCAGCTACCATAGCGAGGATGGTCAGAGACATTCCAAGGAGGCAAGTTTGGGCTGAGACCTGATATATAAAAAGCAGCCAGTCTTGGGAAGGGCTTGGCAGAGAAGCAGAAGTATGAAGCATCAAGGTAGGACCATGCTCAGAGTGTTGGCAGACAGGAAAGAAGGCCAGGCTAGCACAGAATGATTGAAGGGGATGATAGGTCCAGGCACAACTGCAGAGACTGGCTAAGGCCAGTTCATGTAGGGCCTGATAGCCCAGGTGAGGAGATGAGAGTTTATTTGAAACACAATGGGAAGCTTTACAGAATTTGAAGCAGGACAGAAATATAATCCCATGTACATGTTTAAAAGATTATTCAAGCTGCTGTGTAGTGAATGAATCCTACTGAGACAAGAGTGGAAGTGAGAGGAGGAACCAGGAGGCTACGGTGGGCATCCAGGCCAGCAGTGTGGCCATGTAGTCCAGGATGGTTACAATGGAAACGCAGAGACTCGAGGGATGTCTTAGAGGTGGAGTGGTCAGGCCACCCATGGGCCCAGACCTCCCCTTTTCACTGCAACCTCACAAACCCCCTCCCTACTCGACCTTTCTACCTGGATGTTAAAAATGCATTTCAAATTTTTTGCCATCCTGGACTCTGGGTATGCCACCCACAAACCTGCTCTTCTCCAATTCCATTCTTCCAGGAGTTATCCAAATTTCTCTTTTGTCTACATCCAATAATAAATAAATCATGAAGATTCCATTCCAGTGGTCAGCATCATGACCACCCAGATCTAAGTCACCATCACCACTCACTTGGATTATTTCAGTGGCCTCCTAGTTGGTCTCCCTGCTGTGACTTTGCTCTCCATAGCCAGCTCGCTCCTGTTAAAATGTAAGTCAGATGGTAACATTCTTTGCTTCTCAAGCTTTCTGGTGACTTTCCATCTCAGAATACAAATCCTTTGCTCCCTCTCTGACCCCATATCTTACCACTCTCACATTTGCTCATTTTGCTTCAGATATACCAGCCTCCTTCATGTACTTTAAAACTGATAAACAGTCCTGTCCCAGGACCTTTGCACATGCTCTTCCTTCTCTCTGACTCCAGATAGCTGCTTCTGCCCTCCCTTCATTCTGGTCTCTGCTCAAATGGAATCAAGCTAGAGAGGTCTTCCCTGACCACTCCACATAATGAAATAATCTCCACCACTTTTTTCCCTGTCTTGCTTTATTTTCCTTCATAGAACTTATAACCTCCTGACATCATACATTCCCTTACTTATTTATTATCTGCCAACCTACCCTACAGTGTGAGCACCATGAGAGCAGAGCCTTGGTTTTGTTCATTGCTGTATCCCCAACACCTAGACCAGTATCCAGTACATCGTGGACACTCCATGAGGTGTGCTGAATGAATAAATGAAGATGGTGGTATGGAGTGAGAGGAGGTGAGCACTTCCTAAAGGGGGACCTTTGGCACTACTACAAGTGGCAGAGAAGTAAAGAAGATAGGGCTCCGAAAGACAAGAGAAGGAATGACTTCTCAGAGCGCAGAGGGCCATTTTGGACAGCTTCCAGAAGTTAGTGGGAAAGGAACAAGGATCATTCTTGCTTATATCTTTGGGCTCCAGGAGGAGAGACCCAGTAGGGGTGTCTGGTCCAAGAGATTTCTAGCCCAGGTGTTGAGAGGAAGGTATGGATTGAAGCTTCAGGAGGAGGCTGAGCCGCCCTACAGGAGTGGAGATAGAGCCCACCCCAGAGCTTGTGAGAGCCAGAGTTCCACCAGAGGCTGCCTCCTCCTTCTATTACCAGTCTCTCCTGTGGTCCTGGCTGGGGAGAAATGCCCTGAGGCCTTCACGGAAGCCTAGCCCTAAGGCTGCCTTGGCCTCCGTCGACTGCTGGGGCCTCAGTGCCCCAGCCGACAGCGGAGAAGGCCATAGGAAGCACACCTTCCAGCTGTCCAGCTGGCGTCGACGACAGAAGCAAGCCCTCTTGTTAGTATATCCTTGTACCTCGGACTGAGGGCTTCCACATCTTTGCTCTCTTTAGATTCTCACCACCACCGCAATCGCTCTGAGAGATCGCTATTGATATGCTCAGATTTACAAAGTGGGGAAACTGAGGTTCAGAAGATGTGACTTCCACAAAATCACACAGGGAACTGTGGGGTTCCGGTCATTGGTCAGCAAACTCCGCTCTCAAAGACTCCACCCTGAAGTCGGGTTCTCAGGCGGTCTCGGCGTTCTAAGCCTTTGCGCAATGAACTTTCCCTGCGCAGCACTGCGTGCGGTGGAGGCGAGCCCAGAAGAGACGGACGTTTTTTTCCCCAGCAGAAGAGACATCGCGTCCGAGATCCGCGCTGGACATCTCCCTGCGGAAACGCGCAGGTTGAATTGGGCAGAAGTTTGCCTCCTTCCCTCCAGACTGGGACAGAACCTGAGTTTGGAGAGATTGGCAGGAAGCTTTAGCAGCGATCATCGACTCCTGTGTAGATGCGGCTGGGTTTCCAAGCGAGCAGAGAAAATGGGTCCGCAACCCTCTGAGTGAGTCCCTGAGGCAGGAGCTGACCAAGCGGCTCGACCGCAACGTTCAGTCTCAGGTTCCCCCACTGGGACTGGGTCTTATCTCCCGTTGCTCATTTTCCTGCCTCTGACTCTAGCTTTCTGCTCCCTCAATGTCTCAGCCTCTTGGGTTTACCGCTCACCGTCTCACCATCTCAGCTTTGAGTGTACCTTTGCTTTATCGCCTGTGTCTCTTTCCAAATCTCTCCCGATCTGATTTCTACCCCTATCCTGCTCTGGATTCCCACAAATCAGTGGACTGAGGGGACCCCAAAGTCAGCCCGAAGATAAGCGCGCGTTGCCAGCGTTTCCCGCAGAAACACGAGGAGTCCAGTGCTGGAGAAATTTGGAAAGAGTGTGCCCGGGAGCCAAGTGCAGTTGCGTAGGGCTGCCAGCCTCTGCTGTCCTCCCCGCCTGGGGAGGGGCCCGAGCGCTCTCGCGCGGGTGTCAAGGGGTAGGGGGCTGGCCAGTCTCGGGCCCCTGCTGCCACCCTGGGGATCCCAAGCTCCTCCCCGCTCTGTTCCTATTGGCCTCGGGCGCCCCCGCCCCTAGCCGCTAGCTCGGGCTCGGGGGCCCTTAGGCTACTACGGGATAAATAGCCCTGGGAGCCTGGTGTGAAGGTAGGGGTGGGGAGGCCCCAGGGCGCTGCCGCGGCTCTCCTCGCCGTCCGTCCCTCAGGCGGGACAGGACCGGGGAGGGTGGGGAACAGCTGGTTATACATTCAGACCCTCAGTGCTTTGCTATCTCACTGCCGGGGCTCCAGAACCGCAGCAAGTTTCTGGCAACACTTGCCGCTGCCGCTGAGGCTGGGCAAAGCCAGGACCGCGCCGTCCCCCGCTGGGATATGGAGCTTCTGTCGCCGCCGCTCCGCGACGTAGACTTGACGGGCCCCGACGGCTCTCTCTGCAACTTTGCAACAGCGGACGACTTCTATGATGACCCGTGTTTCGACTCCCCGGACCTGCGCTTCTTCGAGGACCTGGATCCGCGCCTCGTGCACGTGGGCGCGCTCCTGAAGCCTGAGGAACACTCGCACTTCCCAGCAGCCGCGCACCCGGCCCCGGGCGCGCGCGAGGACGAGCATGTGCGCGCGCCCAGCGGGCATCACCAGGCGGGCCGCTGTCTACTGTGGGCCTGCAAGGCTTGCAAACGCAAGACGACTAACGCCGACCGCCGCAAGGCTGCTACCATGCGCGAGCGGCGCCGCCTGAGCAAAGTCAACGAGGCCTTCGAGACGCTCAAACGCTGCACGTCTAGCAACCCAAACCAGCGGCTGCCCAAGGTGGAGATCCTGCGCAACGCCATCCGCTATATCGAAGGCCTGCAGGCGCTGCTTCGCGACCAGGACGCCGCGCCCCCTGGCGCTGCCGCTGCCTTTTACGCGCCTGGCCCGTTGCCCCCCGGCCGCGGCGGCGAGCACTACAGCGGCGACTCGGACGCGTCCAGTCCGCGCTCCAACTGTTCCGACGGCATGGTAAGGCCAGGACCCTGGGCTAGAGAAGTGAGGGCAGCTCTTGGTATATCAGGAATGTATTTACCAGAGGGCGAGGAGCTGGGTGCTGCTTGCTGTCCCTCCCTCTGGTGGGAGGGTTGGGCGGGGAACCTTCCAGGGAGTGGACCCCCGGTGCCCCAGGCAGCTGTCACTGGGGTGGCCAAGGGCTCTGGGGATGCACAGGAGGGATACGATCCACCAGATTGGGGGCACTGTTAGAACACTGCTGCGCCGACACGAAGATGTGCTTTTTCTCCTCTTAACCCTATTGCCGAAATGCAGATTTGTGCTCCTGGGTGACAGTCTGGCCTCTCTTTGGCCCATGCTGCAGACAGCTCCTGCCCACCCTTGCTCCCCAACCCAGACAGATCCGGGCCCGGAACTCTCGTGGCTGAGATTTGGGGAGTTGGGGAGTCGGGGAGGGGGCGGCTGCAGGGAGTGGAGCTCCCGCCCCGCGCAGTTCCCAGGCCTGACTCGGTCGCCCTTTCCGTTTGCAGATGGACTACAGCGGCCCCCCGAGTGGTGCCCGGCGGCGTAACTGCTACGACCGCACGTACTACAGCGAGGCGCCCAACGGTGCGTATTCGCGCTTCCTTCCCACATGCCCTTTGGACCTACGCTGGCTTCTCTTTATCTAGGACCTCCTTGCCCCCATTCTGGGAGATAGTACCGGGAATGAAATACTAAGCATGTAGTTCCCTCCTTTTTCATCCTGAAATTTAGTGGGATCCTCACGAATTCTGGCCGGCCCTCAGTTTCCCCGTCTGCCCCAAAGCACTTAGCTCGGAGGTGGGAGACTTGTGCACCCTGCATACTAACCTACCCCTCCCCGCGCAGAACCCCGGCCCGGGAAGAGCGCTGCGGTGTCGAGCCTCGACTGCCTGTCCAGCATCGTGGAGCGCATCTCCACCGAGAGCCCCGCCGCTCCCGCGCTTCTGCTGGCCGACGCGCCGCCGGAGTCGTCTCCCGGCCCGCAGGAGGCGGCCGCCGGGAGCGAGGTGGAGCGCGGCACCCCGGCCCCTTCCCCCGACACCGCCCCTCAGGGCCTCGCGGGCGCGAACCCCAACCCGATTTACCAGGTGCTCTGAGTGGTTGGGCGGCCGCATCGAGGGGGCGCCGCTGCCCACGGGCCCGAGGGATGGTGCCCCTAGGGTCCCTCGCGCCCAAAAGATTGCGCTTAAGTGCCAACCCCCTCCTCCCAACAGCGCTTTAAAAGCGACCCTCCTGAGGCAGGAGAGGCAGGGGAACTGTTGTGTTTCCGCCTCCCGCACGCCAGGGCAAGGACTAGGTCCTTCCCCACCCCCCCACCCCACCCCCCACCCCCCCACCCCACCCCCCACCCCCACTCTGCGCTCTTCCCTGAGACCCGCTGTGGTGGCCGTTTGATGTTACTCCGTGGGCCGGAGCTGACCCTTGAGGAGCCAGGCCCTTCCTGTTTCTCGCCCCCTCCCCCATGGGGGGTGGGACCCACGCAGGCCTAAGCCCCGCCCCCAAGACCCCCGACCGCTTAAAGGGGCGCGCCCCTCCTTTCGGGAGCCCCCTGGGGACTTCAGCTGTTTCCCGCCGCTCCCTTCCCAAGTGTAACAAGTTTAACGGTAACCACTCCCAACCCCCACCCCCCACCTCCGGTTCAGGACCACTTTTTGTAATACTTTTGTAATCTATTCCTGTAAATAAGAGTTGCTTGGCCAGAGCAGGAGCCCCTCGGGCTGTATTTATCTCTGAGGCATGGTGTGCAGTGCGACAGGGACTTTGTATGTTTATACGGCAGGCAGGCGAGCCGCGGGCGCTCGCTCAGGTGTTCGAAATAAAGACGCTAATTTATACCGCGGTGGCTCCGGCTTTCGCTAGGGTTGGGGACTGGATTTTGACAGCGAGGGAAATCCGCAAACTGGGCCAGCTGTACCGCAGCGACCCCTGTAGGCGGCAGACGGCCTGCAAGGGGGAAGCTTGGGGCCTGTGGGAGGGAGCGGTGTGGATGTTTCCATTTTGTGAGGAGGTTCTTCTGACCGTAACAGCACGTCACAGCACACAGATCAGTAGTTCTCATGTCAGGATAGATATTAGAGCGATCTGAGTAGTTAATAAAAGGTCCATGAGATTCTGATTTAAAGTATCTCCCCCACCCCAGATACCCCCAGCCAGGTACTGTTATTTTTCAAAACTACTCAGTTGATTCTAAAGTGCATACGGTTGAGAATCACGCCCCTCCAGATGCAAAGACTGAAGCCAGGTATGGTGTCCAGAAGAATCCCTGGAAAATTATGTCCCCCAGATGCCACTCGAAATCCTCGTAGGTATGATAAATAAGGTGTTTACAGCATTATGAGGAAAAACGAAATGAGTGTGAAGGGGTACTTCCAGGCTCTCGGTGATAGGTGGAAACACAAACGGGCGGCATGGAAGGCCAGGCAGGCACAGACACATCTCCTGTAAGTAGCCCGGCACTTACAGCATCTTGGCACTGTCGGATCTCATAAGAAGACAGGAGTCTAGAGCCTGCAGGGAGAGGGGAGCGTGCAAACCTGCATCGCCACAGGTGGCATCAGTGCTGGTTTCAAGCTATAAACACCCTGAGAGCTGAGAAGGGGCTACTGATTTAGTCAGGGTGCTGGGGAGGGCTTCCTGGATGAGGTGCCACTTGAACTGTGTCTTGAGAAACAAAAGAAGATGACACATGCACAATGACACAGACCTCCCCTCACACACACACACACACAGGGGACACACAAACATACTCAGGGTGCACACGTACACAGGGAACGCACACACATAGAGGTACCTCTGGGAGCACACCCCGAATGGATGGCTTGGCAAAAGTTCAGCCCAACCCCAACCCCAATTCACATACACTTGTCACCAGGACCTCAATGTCTCCTATAATCCCACTCCTACAAATGTTTTTTTCCCCTGAAAACCTTACAGGCCCACTTTCAAGGGCTCTTCTCATCCAGGAAGGGCAGGTGTGGAGAGTGCTTGGGGAATGCAGGCAAGACTTAATGGCAGAAGGAAGAGCTGGGGTTCTGCTCTCTGCTCTAGGAGAGCCTCAGCTCTCCCCAGTGCAGGACCCCTGGGGAGCCACCCAGGGCTCTCCACTGCTACTAATGATTCTCCACTTTTCATCTGGCTGCTACCCCAGATTTGCCTTGGGGATACACTCCCTTGAGACCTCTTGGGGCTCATTCGTGGATTCATTCATTCAAAAGATGCCAGATCCCAGGCTGGGTGAAGACAGAGACTCATGGACACAGTTCTGACCTTGGGATGCACGCAGACATTTTGGGAGGCTGGATCTTTTAGCTGCTGGTTACATGGTGATGAATTAAGTGCTAGAATGGGGATGTATGTGAAGAGGAATGCAGTAGGAACAGAAGGTATGGACAGAAGCAGACCCTAAGAAGAATCTTGAAGGAGTTGGCCAGGAAAGAGGAGCCAAAGAAGGATGCTCCAAGCTGAGGTTATAGCAAAGGCCAAAGACCCAGAGGTGACAAAAAGTAAACTATGCACAAGGGGACAGAGGTGTGATGGGGGAAAGGCAGAGGTGGGGCCACAGTGGACCTTAATTAGGCTTTACCCTGAAGGCCATAGGGAGCCATAAAGGAATCTAACCAGGGGAAGGATACAAAGAAATCCATATTTTAGAAAGACCAGTCTGAGCTGGAAGAATGGATAGGAGGGAACAAGACTTGAGACTTGTCAGGAGGCCACCAGGGTTGCTCAGAGGAGACATGGTGTGGCCTGAACTGGGGTAGTGACTGGGGATGGGAGAGAAAGCACAGGAATAGAGACAGTGATGCCAGATAAAATGTAGGTGTTGACAGGACAACGGAGAACCTTGAGGGCAGAGTTCCTACCTTCACACAGCTTAAAGAGGGAAACAGCCCCTAGACAGAGACTCAAGTGATGTTAGAAATAGTGGGTATACCATAAGGAGTAGAGGGAGGCTGCAGCGAGAGATGATGATGGGGTATGAGACAGTAATCCAGCAAATGGAGGAGGAGGCAGAGCTTCTGCACTAAGGAACCAGTAGCCTAGAGGGCTATGAGCTCCTGTATACACACGACGGCTCCAGTAGCCTACAGGGTTAGTATAGCCCATAGAGAGCTAGTGTGCAATTTGAAAGGGGGTCTCTTCTTTCCCAAGGACACTGTCCTGCACCAGGGTTCACGGCTAGGGACAGAGAGCAGGCAGGACTTCGGCCCCCACTCACTTCCGCGGCCAGGTGCACTGAACTCTTCACAGAGCCTTGCGTCCGGAGGCCCCGAGGAAGGAGGGAAGGGGAGGAGCCAAGGGTGACTCGGCCCTGGTTTGCTTCAGGGTGGAAGGCGGTGCTGTTACAGAGACAGAGACCTCTGGAGAAGAAGCAGCAGACATGGGGGCACACTTAGTCAAGGACACTTCGGTTACAAGTGACAGAAACCCAGTGCAAACAAGGTTAAGCCCTGCAGGGGATGTGTTGGAAGGACAAAGGGCCATTCACACTAAGGGAGCAGGGCTGCAAGCACCACAGACCCAAGGACCTTGAGAGCTGAGACCAGAGCCCCTCTTACTCTTTGACACACTCCCTTCTTGCCTTCTCTCTCGCCTGGTCCATATTGGTTTTCTGCAGCGACTCAAGAGAGTTACCTCACCATTTAACTCCAGGTTGAAAATTCCCAGAAAAAAACTTCAACTAGATCAGCTTAAATCATGAGGCAGGATTTGAACCCAGGCAGAGAGGTTCTAAAGACTGCATGCTTAGCGGCCCGGCCCTTGAGACTCTGAGGAGGAAGTAAGGAGAGAGGAAGAGAGTGTGTCAGGATGCAGGGGAGTAGCTAGATAGCAGCCACCAGAGTGGCTCAGACGGTAAAGAATCCGCCTGCCAATGCAGAAGACCTGGGTTCAATCCCCGGACTGGGAAGATCTACTGGAGGGGCCCATGGCAATCCACTCCAGTATTCTTGCTTGGAAAATCCCATGCACTGAGGAACCTGGCAGGCTACAGTCCACGGGGTTGCAAAGTCAGACATGACTAAGTGACTAACACTTTCAGCTAGAGACTGAATCACCCCATGGATGATGGGGTTTGAGGTCCCCTCCTGACCTGTTCTTCATCTCAGTTCCCTGGGCAGAGCCAGAGGTGGGGGACATCTAGTTGAACACCATTTGCAGTGTAGATTAAACATCCCTGTTCTTGGGGCCATTTTCACCTGGGCTGGATCTGAGGAGACACTGGGCCATGCTCTCCATAGAGACATGTGTGTGTCTCTACACACGTGTGCTCACACAACAGCACACAAGTCCTCAGAACATACTGTCACAGCTGGTGTACCAGGAAGCTAAGGACATTTAAGCTTTAGGTCCTCTCCCTGGCATGAAAAGCCCTAGAAATAGGTTCACATGGTTTAGTTTTTTTTGCTTTTCTTCTTCACATATTTCAAAGTAAAATATTTTAGGAAACTAGTTATGACCATTGTTTCTATTCTGACTTCCCCCCTCATGTTAGGTGGCATTTATGGGGATGTTGAGGTCCTCTCAAGAGGTATACATCTTATTTGGGTTTAATGGAATATATTTTAAGTAAATGAAATATAAAACAGAAGCAATAATGATGAACAATGAAATAAATTACAGTGATTCTGACATTGAGAAGACAATTGTATCCCCAACATATATTTAGATCATACCAAATGTAGCTGTTGCCCTCGTAAGCTCAAGGCATTTTTCTTAACTTTAAACAGGCTGCATTCTTCATATTTAAACCTGTCTTTCTTATCAAAGTCCATCTGAGAACTCTTTTAGAATTAATAAGCCCTTTTACATGTGAAAATACTGTATATTTTGTTAGTGTAATTTAATTCCTAAAATTTAAATATATCTATAATCTATTGAATAATTATTAAATACAAATTTTTGCTTTCAGGTTCTTTGTTAGTATGCTTAAAGGTATGATTTTATTCTATCTTCATTAGAGGAATGATGATAAATTGAAATTCCATTGTTAAAAATTATTTTTAAAAAGGATGCTACTCCTGTAGCATTAAATTTCATTATCTTTAGCATAAAGAGAAAATGATTATTTTCCTGTGGAGATAGAGTGATACAGGCA